TATAAAAATTATCCCCATGAAATCTGACATAATTGGTTAATTTTTTATTAAATATTTATGTTAGAATAGTAAGTATGGGTGATTTTTTTTTTTTTTAGATTCAAACATTATCCGGCCTAATTGAAAATATCTTTTCTAAAGATGTTTTCCTATAATAACACATAAGTTTCAAAGAAACAATTTTATCTCAATAAAAATCCCAACAAATGTCAAAATGAAAGAAAGTTCCTCAGAACATTAATTGATTTTTTGACAACATTTTAAACTTATAAAATTTTAAACCTATTTTCTAAAATTTGCAACTCAGTTTTAATTTATAATTTAATTAAGAACACAATTTTTTTTATATAAAAACACAAAATTTTAACATTGAATTTTATTATAAGATTATTTGCTCAGTTCTAGAAATTTACAACTTACTCTCTTGGATTTGCAACTTTATCTATTGTGATTTACAACACTATATCCTAATTTTATTTATGAACATAATCTCAATATTTATTTTTTTCATGAAAAATTACTTATTCAATTCCAAGAATTTGTTATATACTTTATCTAACATACAATTCCATTTACCTTAGTTTATAACTTGAGTTCCAAATTTTATTTAAAACCAAATTCATAAATAAAATTTCTTAAATAAATTTATGATTTTGTGTTCATAAATAAAAGTGAGATATAGTTGCAAATCATGGTAAATGAAGTTGAAAATATAAAGAGTAAGTTACAAATTCCTATAACTAAAAAAATAACTTTATAAATTTAAGGTTGAAATCTTGATTTTTTAAATAAAATTTGAAACTTGAGTTGCAAACTAAGGTAAATGAAATTATAAATTGTAGAGAGTAAGTTGCAAACTCTTGGAATTGAATAAGCAATAAATATTGAGATTATATTCATAAATAAGATTGGGATATAGAATCATAAATCATAGTAGATAAAGTTGCAATCAAAGCTGAATAAGTAATATTATATAATTCACTGTTAAAATACTGTGTTTTTTATAAAAAAAATTTACATTCTTAAATTAAATTAAGAAATTGAGTTGCGAATCGAGCTAGAAGCTGTAGACTTGAAATTTCAAGAAATAGGTTGTAAATTTTGGAAGTTTAAAATATTGTCAAAAGATTACATAAAGATCAAGAGACTTCTTTTATATTTTTTGAAAATTCATTTGAACTTTATTGAGATAAAATAGCTCCTTTGAGATTTTAGTGTTATTCTCCCAAGGCGTTTTTTACATTTACATATATTCAAAGTTAAGATATTTAAGTAATTATAACCATTTCCATTAATACCAACATGTATTGAACTTGGTACCATGGGTGAATTTGACTTAACGGGAGAAGGATGATCAAGAAAAAAAAAAAAAAAGCTTCAAGGACTCGACGGAAAAAAGATATAAACTCATTGTCTTAAATTTTAAGAAAATTAACCATTTGCAAATTAACATATAATATGTTATTCTAAATTCTAAATATGTGAAACTTAATCATAACTTTCCATCATCTCGTCTTTTTATGAAATTTGACATTAAAAATCAGCATGCTTATCACACATCTAATCTGACGATGAATTAGATTTACAGTCTACAATAATTGAACATTGAGAGATGCAAAAGTGCCAAATCATGCACTTGCACAGATGTTAATAGATCGCTTTCAGTTTCATATGTGGATGTCAGTATAATAACACAGATATCAATAACGATATAGTTTTAAGACCCTGTATATTTTGAATTAACAAGATCGGTTGATCACTTTGAAATTTTATAACTAATTGTAAGGAAATTTGAAAAAATTTAAATTAAAATATGAGATCATTAAAGTGACTGCTAATTAACCAATTTTGAGCAGTTAAGCTTTGAGTAAATATACTGTCTTGGTTTAAAAATATAAGTTATTTTTTTAAATTAGATGTTAAAAATATGAAACGTTATATTTTTATTTTTCATTGTGTAATTAATAATTTTTTAAAAATATCCTTTATAAATAAATAAATTACCTTTAAATAGGATATCAAGGGAAAATATAAAAAAGGTAATATCAGTTTAAAAATAATTAAATAACTTATTAAAAATACAATTCAATTAAAAATATTTATATTTTTTTAATAGAGGGTTATAATTTAGGAGTGGCAAGCCATTCATTTAGAATCATAAGAAAATTGCAACCTACCTTTTTCTAATTTAGTAAAGATTCTCAAATGAAATTAGCTCTTTATTGTAATATTTTAATATTACAATTTAAAAATGATTTATGATGCTGTCTTTTTCACATCTCTTTCCCCACTCAAATCATTTGGTGGTCGAAAGCGATCGATCTTATGCGAAAACTGATTAATTTATTTTTTTCTAAAAAAAATAATATCAATATATAAAATAGAAAGTGTAATTAATCTCACTGAATTTTATGACGATTTTTAAAAAAATGAATAAACAGTATTGCATTTTCATTTTATAATAAACAGCGTTGCATTTTTCAATAAACTCGCCATTAGGAAACTCATTAGGTACGGCAATAGTGAAGATTGATATAATCAAAGGATTATTTTAATTTAATAACGGTTTTACAGTAAAAATAATTGGTTAATTTATTATCAAATCAATGTATTTACAATGATTTATTAATAATCCTCATATACCTTTCAACGTCTGTAGGGCTAGAGTTAAGTTTATAGAAAATCACTTGATGCCTATTGTAGCCATTTGTCAAACAGATGGCTGTTAAGACTAAAGAATTTATCCTCTGGCAGATAAAAAAAAAAACCAAAAAGTTATACTCTGTGTGTGTGTGTGTAATGTAAACCATATTTGATAATGGAAATTAAGATTAAATGCATTGATATAGATATTTAATTAAGTTTAAACTATGATATCAAGATACAAAATAATTTAATTAATCTACCTTAAATGACTTGAGAGATGTCAAACCGTAGAAATGTTCTCTTTTCCATGATATCTGTCCCTTTCTTTAAACAATTTCAGCCACTTATAATTAGCAAAAAAATAATATCAATATAATATTCTTATACAACCATTTGATATTAAGAATTACAAGATAATAATCAACCCGATCGATGGTAACTTTTTCAACATATTTTTTCTTATTCGTGATATATTATAAGTTATATTATCCTTAAGTTTTATTTTATTTTATTTTCATTGCAAAATATATACTTTTATTTAAAAGCTTCATATCTGTCTTTCTACACAAAGTTCATCCAATATCTTTTAAATTGATTCAATCAAACAAAATTTATTATGAAAGATAGAATATCAATTCTCATAAATTAATTAGCTCAGTTATCTTCATTTTTTAAAAAAATATTTTAAAAATTTACATGCAACGACACATTAAAAACATCTTATAAGTTTTTTTTATGACAATTTAGATTAAGAATAAAAATTATAATAAAAGGAATCATCGATCTCCAAGCTTTGCTAAAATTATACAACAAAGTTTTGGATAAAAAACGACTAATCAGATGTGATCCAAAAAAACTCTAAACGGAAAAAAGATGGGAGGTGAAGTGATATATATTATTTTGCAAAAAAAAAGGATATATATTAGAAAATATTGACATATATTAAAAAATATTGATAAAAATAAAATGTTAAATATTTTTAAATTAGGATGATTAAATGTGATGTTATCCTTTCACCCAAAAAAAAAAGGTAATTAATTACATTCAACCCCCTCAAGAGAATTAATCACAAAGAAAAACTAATATAAAATAAATTATTATTAAAATAAAAATATAAATTTTTTTAATAAAATTTATTGTTAATCTTTATCTAAAATTAATTTTTGTAAGAGAGTTGTTCTCCCTTATAAATTTAAAAGCCATCATGGTGCAGAGTTTGGTGGCACTCGCTTGAGCTTGCGCGTGGATGCACATTCAAGCGTTCACTGAATACCATCATCAACCTCTAACGTGACAATTACGTTCCACTTGTCTCTCCGAAAAAGCAAAAGGCAGCAACAAAGCCATCCTCAATTATCCGCTGTGCTCGACCCTACCTCTTTAACCACGCGTCATGAATAAAGGGTATTTGTGTCCAATTCGGACAACCATATTCGCACGTGGAAGATTCTGGTCTTGTTCTCCATGCACACCATCTTCTGTCCCTCAACCAACAAAAAGAATCCCATAGCTGTTGAAATTACTCATAAGGACAAACACTGTTTTTTTTTTGGGCCCAATTGCTCACAAGGGCCCATTATATTTTGGTAAGATTAGTATTCCACTATTCCTATTAATTAGCTTTAACCTCCAATCCTCACATTAATCCAAACTGTCCATATTTTGCTGGTCAAAACAGAAAACTGCCACCATTTTTACATTTTACATATATTCCGGATTTCTTAGGATATTTAAATAATTATACTTTATTATGATTAATTTTAATTCCTATAGTGCCCATATTGCCAAAAGTGTGTGAAATCTGGGTAATTTCTTATTTTTTAATTTTTATTTAAACAAATATAAAACTAAAAAATAAATTATGATCTTAAAAATAAAAATGCAAATTTCAAATTGAATATTATTTGTGTTATATAAGTTAAATTTAATTAGCTGAAAAATAAAACATCCTAATAATGTTCTATTATGTTAATCACATCCCCACCTGATTGATACCTATTAATGTGTATAATTAAAAGTGAGTCATTAACAGGCGTAAAGCTATAGTTATTTAAATTTGAGATCTTAGACTTGAAAAGGCCTTTGGAAAGACCGTGTAATACAAATTGCAATTATATTATTTAGAATTTAAAAATTTTAATTTCTTTTAAAAAAATTCACCCCTTAGCTTGTTGTATCTTAGTAGAATTTAGATTATTCTGTGAAATACCTATATATATATATATATATATATATAAAATAGAATTTACCTCTGGTTCTCTCTCTCGCCGTCTTCACCTTCAAACGCACGCTTTCAAAGCTTTCGCTGGACTAAAGTCTAGCTTCCTCACCCACCTATATATACGCACATACAACACGTACCTCAGCCCCCCACCGTTTTTATTTTTATTTTCATTTTCTCGCTCAATTTTGTTACCATCCAAACACGTTCTCTCTCCAATTCCCACCGCTATGTCCACAGATCTCCAGCTCCTCCACGATCTCTCCAAACCACGAGTCTCCTCCACCGCCTCCGCCGTCAAAATTGAGCTTACCGATCTCGACCATGCCGATCGCTTAGCCACATCGGCGGAGGCTGCGGCGGTCCACAGCGGCAGGGAGGAGGACGAGAGCTGTAGAACTCCGACGTCCAAGGAGAACAGAATTCCCGAGGCTCTGACATGCCCGCCGGCCCCGAAGAAGGCGAAACGCGCCGTTTCCTGCAAGAGAAAGCTTCTGGAGGAGTTTCAGTTGTTTGAGAAGGTGAATAAGGACGAGATCGATGGATTCTTCCGATCGAATTTCCCGAAGAGGAGCTGCCGGTGTACATGATCATATCATAGCATGAACCTGTTCGTGCTATTCACGTGGCTGTTATGAGAGTTTAACAAAGCCAGTGAATTCGCCATTTCATCATCCTCATCTTCTTCTTCGTCGTCGTCTGCTCTCTCTCCTCTCAATTTCAACCTGTTCGATTCGTTTCCTTTTTTCTTTCTTTAATTTTTTTTTTTTAGCCTTACACGTTAATGTTTATATATCCAATTCGCATAATATATATTAATATATGTGAAAATATATTAGATCCTGAATCCAGTATGTTCATTAATTACATATATCAACGAATTGTTGATTCAACCCCCAACTTTATGATCTTCTCATGATCGATCTTCCTTCTCCCTTAATTTACGGTTTCTCATCAGTGCCAATTAGACTGCAGGTTCAATTCTTTCCGGATTTTATTAATTATATGATTATGATTGTCATTTTGGGATGTTATTACGTGCCTACTCATCAGATGATTAATTGATGGCCTATATGTTGAATAACTGGGAAAATTTTGTGAGTTTTCTGAGTTTTATGCTTTTTCCTGTATCTCTTTTCTGGCTTCTTTTCATCACATGCCTAAAGCTGTAAATTCTCTCGGAACCGTGAACGAAAAAGTTGATCTAATAAAATTTAAGCTAATTGTTAAATGATCGATAGAAAAATATCAATTAAAATTTCTTACAAATTATTCAAATCTCTCGCGATTTAACTGCAGAAACGGATCTACATTTATATTTTGGTTAACCTATTACAGTTAATTATCTTGAGTAAAATCTAAAATATAAAGCACACACACAAGTGTATCTTGGAAATTATAGAAATTCTAATGATAAAGTGAAAGTTTTTTTTTTCTCGGAAGAAAAAAGATAAAATTATAGCTCTCATCACCACGTATTTCTGTAATTATTATAATGACTAGTAAGATGTCAATTTAATTTTTTTTTTTTTTTTTTTTTTTGCTCTTGGAAGGCGGAAGAGGTTAACTAGGGTATATGGGTTTGTTGGCCTGTGTTAGGTATCCAAGTTAAACACCATTATCATAGTGAAGAATGAGGTAGGTTAACCGGTTGATTATTATTCTTGATATAATATGATATTATTGACAACTAGAATTGAATCTAGCAGAATATACTACTATTTTACCAAAAAAATAAAAAAATATTATTGATGAAAAATAGGCATACATACATACATACATATATATATATATATATATATTATTCAGATTAAAATATAAGTCATTTTTTTAAAAGTTTTACTTGATTTAAAATAATATATTGGTAGGTGTTATATCTTTTTTACAAATCTACCCTTATTTTGTTGAATAATTAATAAGGATATTTTGAATAAATAAAATGTTATATCAATTACTCCCTCTAGTCCACTATATTGATCACCTTTTAAAAAGGTAAAATGATTTACTTTATAAATTATTGGATTAATAATGATATTTATTTTAAATAAAATATCTAAACTGTTCTTAAAAAGTAAGAGAGAAAAAAAATATTATATAATTTATTTATTTTTTTAAGTTTATGTTCGTAATTTTATTAAATTTTATTATTTATATTTTTATTATATTGATATTAATAAAATTGATAGAAATAATTTATAAATAAAATGTGAAAGAGTACACTTTAAGATAGGATTGGAAAAGCTTGTAAATTTTTAGAAAATCGAAATTCTAATTTTTTTTTAAAAAAAACGTAAATAGTTCGCAATACTCAGTAATTTATATCGTGGTCCATAAAGTATACATTAAAAAAAATTGTAAGATTGATGCGTCAAAGCGGTTGACAATTTTATGAATGAATGTGTGGAGGGGTTGAGTATTTGACACGGCTTTGGGATTGATGTAAGAACCTGCTTGATTTTCTGTGTAAGTAAGAAAGTAGGAGAGATAATAGATATAACGAAGGGATATGGGAGAATATAATTGTAAATTAATAAATTTTGAAGAGATCAACATAGAGATCCCATATGGATGCGAATTCTATGTAATGTGATGTGCCTTGTTATTATCAAATTCTATTGCCACCTCTTTTGTCTTTTTCGACAAAAATCAATAAAAATTATCAAATACCCACATGGCGACTAGCTAGCTATAAGAATTTGATTTTTTTGGTGACGCCAAATTTGAATTCTCTCATGTGTGTTGGTACAATTGGAATTTAATTTTCTAAATTTTAGTTGCAACAATATTGCATGTGACCAGCTATATATTTTAGATGTTCACATAAATCTTTGAGATCATATTCATTCATTATTTTAATTGATTATTCTTATTTTTCGTACTAAATTTATCATAATTAGTTGTTACATAAAAAAAACTGGCTTTTTAGATGGCAAGAGCCGTGAAGGACAGGATTTGAGACAGAAAAGGAACCTATATAAGTTTGACAGGAAGTTGAAAGGGACCATTTTTATTTTACCTTTCACGCTTCAATTATTGTGTTTGTTTGTGAATATATATATATATATATATATATTCTCTCTATTTAAAAATACAAGATATTTTTAACTAAATCTCACTCTCAATAAAATAGTTACCTATTTTTAAATTAATCTTATCTTTTAATATTTATTCTTATTAAACACTCCACAATAAATGTAAAATCATTCATCAATAGAGTACTTTTGAAAAAAAATAATGATTACACCTCAAAAGACTAAAAAATCTTTCATTTTTGAATATTCACCTCCTCAAAAAATACCTTATATTTTTTAATAGAGGGAATATATGTTATCTATATATAAACATAAACAATTATAGTAATTTTATAATAAAGTAAAATTAATCATAAGTTAAATTATATATTACTTTCCTGAACTTTAAATCATACACACATAACTTCCTTAACCTTTAAAATTTTACAATAAACCCTCTCATATTATATATTTATACAGATAATTCTATTTAATTAATTTTATACATTCATTGTTTACACATAACTAAAAATTTAAAATAAGTTATTATACATCAATCAAAGTTTGGAGACTTCATTGCATACAAAATTAAAATTAAAGGGATTGTATAATTAATGGCTAGGATTCATATGCATAAACCTAAAAGCTCAAGGCAGTTTATTATTGAGTTTTAAACGTTAAAGGGTTTATTTGTAAATGCTTCAAAATTTAGGATAGTTGTGTGTAATTTAGCTTGATTATATATAACTTCAAAAGAAGATCAATTTTATCCCTCCTCTCTCTTTTAAGCTCTTGATTTTTAATTAAAGGCAATTAATTTGTTGCATATATGGATATAGAGACTGTACTCTGATAAGCTGAACGTGACATTAATATAATAACACACTACACCTTTATTTAATTATTTTTTAAAAGCTATTAAATCAATTACTGCATTTTAATTTATTGTCATCAACATGAATTACTTCAATGAATAATGTTTGTTATATAATTATAATCAAGTGACGATATATGGCTGTGATTCTGGATGCATGGTAGTTAGAAGAAGTGATCAGCATCAATTGATTATATTAATGTGCTAATATAAGGTTGGATCTGAGGCATTGGAAGGAATGTGATGGTTGAAATTAGTAGTCAGTGCACATCACCAAAGGTAATTATGTGATAATTAAATAACCCTAACATCAATTTTTAATATATATATATATATATAATAATAATAATAATAAAGATGAAAGGAAAAAATGGTAAAGAGAAGGAATCATTATGCCAACAAAAGTTGATCCAGTTAGTGAGGATTTGGTGGGTCAAATCTGCTATCAATATGAGGGCTTTTATTAGTGGGCAATCCATTACCTCTCTAAGTACTATTTAATTTAAATCTAAAAACATGTTTTAGTCCTGATGAGTTTTTGAAACCCAACTCATTTAAATTTTCATTTGTGTCAAAAAGAGAGAAGGAATCATGATCAGCAATGGAAGTAAAAGAAATTTTTTTTGTGGCCACAAGAAGTAAAAGATTAATTAAGAATAAATAAAGGGGAGAGTGAAACAATTAATAATTATGGATTTGTGTGTGTGTGTGTGTTTGGGGGGGGGGGAGTGTAGATCTAGAGAGCAAGGGGGCATAATATAAACAAGCAAGCAGCCTTTGGTGGAATAGACATGATTAATAATTGGCTTCAAGTCTACGTTTCTTTGTCTCCACTCTTTACAATGTGCTAAAAGCTGTGAATCCAATGATACATGCCTATAATATTATAGTAACTACAATATAATTTAATCAGAATCTGAGACAGTGATGATCCCATGAAGATGCATGAGGAATACGTTTGGAGGCAGGTCAAGCATTCAAGAAAGAGGAGACGAGTCTTCAAGTATAAGACTCACTTTATATGATTCTGCTCACCAATGTCATATACTCAACCTTGATGGTTATCAAGTGTGTGGGATATGCATTTAGACAACAATGATTATTAATACTCATGATCTCAATTCCATTTATGCATTTATGTGTGTGTGATTAATATTGGAATTAATATAGGAGAGGGAATTAAATTTATATACTTTCTCCGGTGTTTTTCTATATAGTACCAATTGGAGAAATTTCCGATTCCTTTTACACGAGATATTTGTTACATATTACTCTTATTGCTCTTTTTTTTTCCCAAGTTTACACTATAAGAGTTTAAATGAAGGGAAAATATTTTTGGGGCCAAGTCATGCGAAATTGGGGAAGGGAACAGATGAACAATAAGAAATGGAAAATATTATATCTTAGTTAAAAAACTGAAGACTCAAGTCTATAGATTATTTTTTTTATTATATATTACTTATTTCCTTCATTTAGTATTATTTAATAAAATATTTTTAATCGAATTACATGTATTCTTAATGAGTTATTTAATTGTTTTTAGAACTACACACTTTTTTATGTTTATTCTTACTTAATAGAGTATTTTAATTAAAAAATTTTAGTAATTACACTATTTAATTATAATTATTATTGAAGGAAAAAAAATCTTATCAAGTGCACATTGAAAGATCTAAGATACCTTATATTTTGTAATATGGTAATTTTTAAAAATGCATTATAATAATATTATTGAAGGGGAGAACATACATTAAGCCGAATACAACCCGAAATGGGGCTTTTCACTTTCATATACATTAACCCCAAGTTGGGTGACACCAAGACATGATAATATTTAGGAATAAAGTGAAAGTGCTGTGAAGAAGTTAAGGGAAAGAGAAGTAGATAGTGAATAGTAGTGGAGGTGATAAGGCACAAGTTTCCAAGAGGATCGGTGACTTTGTGAGAGCTTTGCAATGCGAAATACATTGGGTAGGAAGGACGAAAGTGGAAAGGCAAAATTGAGAGA